GAACTACATTTCCCAGAAGGCTCAGCGGTGCGAACTACCTTCCTAGGCAAACTTGCCCTCCTCTTCCTGAGGCTCTCCGRTTCCTACCAATAGTAAGAAAGGGGCGGAAAGTAAAACCCATGTCAAACGCATGGGAACGGCCTTCTTTGGGAGCCGGGGTTGGAGGYTGATGCAGGACTCAGGCCTTCGCAGTGTGTTTCAATAAAGTGTGCAATCCTTTCTGGTGGCCGCAGCTAATCGCTGATAGGAATCCTGAAACACGGAACCACCTTGTCCACCTCTGGTTGCCTTTCTAACTGTGTTTCCCAGAGCACTACTCRGCATGACCTCCTTCTCGCGGGAATTCAGCCTTAAAGTCACGCGCTGGCGGGACCCTGGCGGCTTCACCAGCAGCTAATCCAGTGCTGTGGAGTGTTTTACTGCCTGGAAAGCTTGGGAGGCCTGAGGTGAGGATCCCCAGAGGAGGGCGGGGCTGACGCCGAGGCTTGTCTTTGTGCCGCGGAGGAGTTGAGGTTGAAATTGTGTGGTTGTTATTATGTGTGTGGTAGTTTCTGAAGAACGATCGTGTGGTCTTAACAGACTGTTGAGTATTTCCGTCTAAGGGTCACACGGAGTGGAGAACCTGCTGCGTGAGAGAGAGACATTAGGACCGCGCGCGGCATTGTGTGCGATCCTGGGCGCTCGTGACTGGCTGGGCGTTTCGGAGTTGTCTCCTCTGTAGTGTATGATTGTGTGACGTTGTGGGCACATGCATCAGAGTACAGGTGGGAATACAGATGCAGACTGTGTGGTTGTAGTTGTGTGTGTGCATGTGGTTAGTGTGTGAYTTTGACTGTGACCAGGGTACAGGTGTCTGTGACCGCAGATGTAACTTTGAGCGTCCTCTTGGTAAAAGTKCGGTTGTGCCTGTGGCACCTTTAGAGACTCTGGGTGTGTGGCCTGTGGTTTGGGGAGTGGGTTTCCTGTAACTCAATGGTACCTCAAAGCACTATAYTCTAGTTTTAGGACTTAATATGCATGTTATCATGATAGCCTTTGTCTTTTATTATATTTATTYATTTGTTCAAATGTTCTTAAGAATATTTCATATTAGATACAATAGTTCATTCAGTTTTTTTCTTCTTCTCCTTTTTTTTTTTTTTTGGCGTGTTGTGTAGTATACTGCATTTATTCATCCCTGCTAATAATGGAGGATATTTGAGCTATTTCTAGTTTTTTTATTTTATAAATAATGCTGCTATTACCATACTCTAGGCCAGAAGCTTGACTCTGGGGATCCAACAACTCAGGTTCTAGCCACACACCCCAAAAAAACAAAGGAAAAGGTAATGGAGAAAATCATGAAAGAACTTTAATCAGTGTAGCTACACTGAGAAGACAACGGGACCGGTGTCCTTTGCCCTGTCTTTAAGGGACTGACAGTGACTTTGACGTTTTATAAAAAAGGTAAATGAGGGCAAGGTTTAACTGGAGGCTTTTCAACAGTTGACAGAGCATGTGGTCTTGACCAGACATGGGCTGGTCCATCATTATCCCAGGACAAGGCAGAACCTTATCTAAAATATGAAAGTTACTGTTTCACATAGAGGGGAGCTAACTTAAATTCATCACAATATATGTATTGATCAGACCCTGTTTCTGGATCCAAGGTTACCACAAGCAAAGGAGATGGA